CGGACAATAACCACGCCTACCTCCCATATAACGGTAATTTTAAGAAATACGAAAACTGCGATATTTTAGTAACTACTGAAGATAATTCACTCAAAATTGATACTTACAATGAGTTTCAGACGGAAAACATGAATTTTATACATTTTTGGAAAATGGGCGTAGCCACGCCCACTTATGGTTACATGTGTATATCTTGGTAACCGCTACACCAATTTCTTCCAAACTTGGCACAGTTGTTGATCCTGGTACAGCATACCAAATGGCCGAAAATTTCTAAAATCGGACAATAACCACGCCCACATCCCATATAACGGTAATTTCGAGAAATACAAAATCTTCGTTAAATCAGTAAATATTGAAGCTAATTTATTCAAAATTGATGGTTGCAACAATTCTTTACCAAGAAATACGTTTATGACAAAATTTTGGAAAATGGGCGTAGCACCGCCCACTTGTGATCACATATATGTATCTCGCTAACCGTTCTAGCAATTTGTACCAAGCTCGGTATGGTTATTGTGCTTGCCACATAAAAGCAAACCGTTGAAAATTGTTGAAATCGGACTAAAATTGAGGCCGTTATATGAAAAACGGTAAATTTCAGAAATGCTTGAAATTTCAAAATTTAAGTACGCTAATTTACTTAAAATGTATACACCCCGGCTTATCATGTAGCGGTAGCTTTCGGAAAGGTGGAAAACATATATTTAATACTTGCGCCGGGTATTTAATGTTCGGCTCCGCCCGAACTTAGACTTTCTTACTTGTTCATACTGCATTCCTCTGGAAGTGTTCATGGTACAGCACTGGAACTGGGTATGGAGATATATGAAATCAATCGCATACTCATGAAGAAAAATTCGGACTATTTGAAAAGGGGGCGTGGCACCTCCTATATAAACGGAATTTTTCAGAACAGCAAAAATACAAACTTTCGTTTGAAGTGAGGCGGAGCGCCAGGGTAAGATAAACTATCTTAAAACTCGTAACATCCGCTAGCGTACGTTTCTTGGTAATTACCTTTGAATATGAATGTATATATAATTCTTTTGTAGGCATATTTGTGAGTGAAATTCTAAACGGCTGGGGTGATTTTAACAAAGTTTTGTGTGTGTGTTTGAGTGGGTCTCTGGATAGTTTAGTTTCACAATTTAACAAGCCAGTTGGCGCTGGAGTTCACTTATCACTATTTTTATGATCCGATTTGGCGAATATTCAAAACATGAATTGGAAACGGTAAAGGCAGTCCAATTGCAAAAAAGAGCTGCCAGAGAGCGAACTCTCGTGTGTTGCGATTGGCCTAATGGATGTGATTTTCCAATATTATTATGCGTTAAAGTTTCATTCGGAGACACCAGGGTTGAGTTGTGCAGTGGTAAATCTTAAATCACCACCTGTTTCACAGCCAGTTTCATGAAAGCAATTTAATGAAAATTCATTTTTTTACTTGATTTTAATATGGAACTTGACAGAAAAAATTAATTTTTCACTTAAATTGTTTTCATGAAACTAGCATTTAAGGTATTTCATCTAAAATAAGTCTGTGTATGTACATACATATATAGGATTTCTGTTGAACAATGATACACCCATTTTGAAATTGCCACCAATTATAAGATAAAGTTTCTAGGGTAGATTCACTATAGATCTGGATTATTGTTGCCGCCAGGGAACTTCTTCATGAACATAACACTTAGGGTATTTAAGGCGGCAAACGACCACCAAACCATAATCTTAGCCGATGAATGTGCCAATGGAAATGTGGACTGTTGTAGAAAATGTTGGACCAAAATGTTTAAACTAAAAATCTAATTTTGGGCGGGGCAAAGTTCGCCGGGTCTGCTAATATCTATATACAATCGTGCAGAGACAATTTACATATAAAATTAAGGTGCTCGATTTGAAACTTTGCACAAACATTTCAGATTTAAGAATCATTCGATATATCTACATACACACATATTTGCACGGAAGGATTTTTAAAATTTTGCATTAAGTAATTTCAAAATGTAAAACTGAACGTCACACACGCATTCTCATTTTCAGTTTCCAACAGCAACAATTTTGAACAATTTTCTTTCTTTATTTTTAATTTTGTATTATTTTAAAATGCTGGAAAACTTAAAAAAGATCCTGGCGGACGTACTGAGGTATCGGTACTGTATTGTACACTCTCGCTAAATATGCGTTTCAGAGAATCTGATTATTTTGTGGGTTATTGAAGGGCGAGAACTCTCGCCGGACTCAAAAATTAAGATAAGTGCCACAAGAGATTATTTTGCGAGTCGATTAGGTATTTGAATCTCAGCCTGGTGTAATTAATCAAAACACTTGAAGGATCGATCAATTTCGTGTCCAAAAAATAAGCACTGTACGGTAGTTAATAAAGAAATAGTTAATATGTCGTCCGGAGAAGAAAATTTTTACTATGGCGTCGATATCTACTTCCGTTACTAAATATCCACAGAAGTAAGTGGAGTAAGGGAGTTACACTCAATGACTTGATACTAAAAGTTACAGCAGTTATGATGTTTATCCCCGACCTAAATATGTATTTATGTATATATTAAGGGTTAGTTAATGGTCTTGCCTATTAGTTAAAGAACTACAATATAAGGGTTTGGATGCCGCAATACCAATATGTATATGTAGAGGGTTAGTTAATGGACTTAAAACATGTGATTCACAAGGGAAACGAGTTTTACTACCGCATATAAATTAATAGTCCAGCGAATTAACACTTCCGTTTGTATTTAAACGTCGCCTATTCAAAATTATTGTAGCGTTCGCAATAAAGATAATAATTTGTATACGTATTGAGTTTAGGATGATCTTGGCAAAATACCAAAGTTAAAGTTAATTACCAAAAGCATTGCATGTGGTTTTTAGAATAAAGAAATATCCAGATTTTTAGACCACGAGCACCCCGATTTTCGGGGATTATTACTAGGAGATGCTCGGCCAAACACTAACATATGTGTAGGCGCCAATCTATTATTATTATTATTATTATTATTATTATTATTATTATTACTTCTTCTTCTTTTTTGGAACTGTAACCGCCTTAGCGATCTTGGCCGAGGTCAGCAAAGCACGCCAGTGGTTTCTCATCTGTGCCAACTGACGCCAAATTATTATTATTACTAGTATTTATTAAATGTAAAAATCAGTACAAAATTAGTACAAACTCAGAAATTTAGTAGATTTTGCGTACTGATTTCGGGTTCTTAAAAGTCAGTGCAATAAAAAAACTCAGCACATGTACTGATTAAATCAGCGCATCAGGCCACCCTAAGTAGCAATAATAAAAAAGGGAGAAAGAAAAAGAGAATAGATGTCATAAAGAGCGATAATGTCATAAGTTTAATATCAAAATAATTTTAACCGTCATAAATGACAGCCTGATTAATTATGAGTGTGAATCGATATTTCCGAAGTGTGCTATTTATAAATCCCTTCAATTCTGATGTAAAATATGATGCCAAAAGACTGCAGATCTCCCATTTAGATGACCGGCAGATGTCTCGTAGGATTCCCAGAGAGTTTTGCTTTACATAGAAATTTGTGCTCTTTTATTTTCATTTTGACTCACTTCAGTGTTGGCTCCTTTAATTCAAGTTGGCATTCGGTTTTTGGAATTTAAATAAGTTCTCAGCAAAAAAGTTTGTTTAAATAAATACATATGTGTACATAGTGTTCGAAAATATCAATTTTCCCTTACCTTAAACCTTTGGGAGTGTGCAAAAATGATGTTTTGTAATTTAGGCAGAATTGAATATGCGCTATCTGGGAAGACGATATCTACATGTAATATTTATTCTGTTTGTTGGCACTAAATCCAAACACAAACGCATCTTAAGTGTCTTAACAGTGAAACAATTTCTTATTTTCTAAGTTTGCGAATAAAACTTCACACTTAAAATTAAGACATTTATAACAAACATTTTATGAAGAAAATCCCTTCTTCGTTTAAAATAAAAATAAGCGAAATCGGCCCAATTTCATACAACCCTTCCTGTCATGAAAATTTTCTCCACGACAAGGCTAGTAGCCATTTCTAACAGATTTTGGGTCGCTTAGTCAAAAATGGAAACATATATACATATTTGAAAGAAAACAAGGCACATAGCAAAATCGGCTAAAAACGGCTAATTTTTTTCTGCAAAACGGCTAACAAATCGTCTGCCGGCTAAATCTAGCCGGAAAACGGTTAAAATGGCAACACTGCTCGTGATAGAAGTGAAACTTTTTAATGAATGAGATGAATACAGTTGCTTATTGTATTTAATGTTGGTACCAAGTTGCTACGTTTTTATCATTTTTCACATTTAATATTTTTTTATAATTTTTACATATATATATTTTTTTTTGATATGAATGATTTGATCATCCTTTGTCGCTTTATTCTGGATTCGAAAAATTACATGGTCCAATTAAATTGAATTCAGTATTAAATATTTAAATAAGTCATTCAGATTTAGATAGCATTTTTAGAAATTTATTTAAAAAAGATAAAACATTTTCTCCCAAATTCATAAATATAAAATAAAGAAGAATTTAACTGCTTTATAAATAGAAAATTTTTTATGAGAATGTCACTTTATTGAGCTTTTTAAATCTATTTTATTTTTTAATGAATAGGGCCGTTAGATTTTTGTTTGGGTTTTTGTTGATTTTTAATTTGCTCTCCCAAACTAATTCATATCAAATAAAACACCTCTTTAAGGTAAATATTTCGAGTGACGAAAGCTGAACTAGAAACCAAAATTTATGATATCAATTTCGTGACGAAAATTAAAAGCATCTTTTTAACTGCCCTGGAAACTGACGCAAAATCGTTTTATTTATTCGAAACGTTGCAAAGTTCTGTCTACTCTTGGAAACACAAAATAAAAAAAGTCAAAACATTAGCAACGATTCGCCTGAATACAACTTTTTGCGTCAGTTTCCAGGGCAGTTAAAAAAAAGCGTATAATTTTCGTCTCGAAATTGATATCATAAATTTTGTGTTTCTAGTTCAGCTTTGGTCACCCGAAATATTTACCTCAAAGAGGTGTATTATTTGATACTTACATTTCTGCCCATGACTGTATGCCTATGTGAAAGCTGCTTTGCAGGAGCAACAGCATTCAGTTTCAAGAGAATAATCGACGAGACAAGTGGTGAATTGTCAGCGCATAGTCGTCTGTGGTGAAGTGCTGGTAGGAAAGAAAAAAATTTATTCCAAATTCACGGATTGAAGTTTTTGAGAAGCAAAGATTTTAAAATTAAAAGTTGGTAAAAATTTCAAAATAAAACTGCGATTGGTATTAAATTATGATTTAATAAGGCAGTGCCGTGTAGTTTCATTTTGAAATAGAATGCAAAACTTCCCAGGCAGCAGCAGAAGTTTATTTTTAGCGTGAAATTTTGTTCGAGATTATAAAAACGTATACGTATAAGTTCGAATACGTGCGGTTGTCTACATAGATGCTTAATTTAACTATACGAAACGAACGCGTTGGTCAGAGAATTATTCCCATGTATATGTACATACTTGCATACATACATACATATGTACTTTTATACATATGTACATAAAGTGTCTCAAACAGTTTCACGTGTTTTTTAACGCACAACATTTTTTAAGAAAATTTAACCAAACCATATAAACCAAATATTCAAACTGTATACAAAATTTAGGAAAATTCAACAAACGTAAAGCTCGAAATTTCGATGAAAATTCGTAGAATTTTAAGCTAAGGATTGGACAATATTTCTATAGAAAATAACGAAAAAATTGACTTTAAAAACATTGGGAATATTTATAAAAAAAAATCAATACGTCAACATATGTTTGAGTCACTGCATGTAAGGGAGGTCTGTAAATGTGTAAGTGCCGAAAAAATCACATGTATTGGTTGTAACGATAACTTTGAATCGCTTTTTAATACAGATATTTCTATGTTAAAAATACTCAAAATAACCGGTTTATTGAGGTATTTAAAAAAACGAGTATTAATTTGTTTATAAAAAGCAGAAATAAAATATATACATTATAAACAAAGAGTGCAGTGTTTATATAAAAGGAGATCCTTGCAATACAAGAGAATTACCAAATTTGAATTTTTTGTTAAATATACCAAAATATCTAAGCTCAGAATAAGGATCCTCGCTAGAAGGACGGTGTTTGAAAATACATAAATACCTCTTTACGTATGTATGTACATATGTACATATGTATCGCCAAAAACTAAGTTTTCATAAAAGGGAAATGATCAAAATAATGCAATGCCAAAGAACATAGTGGCCCGTAGCTATAGTCAAAATAAAGTCGACTCTGAGGTTAAAAGCAGCTCTTTGGAATATCTTCAATCGAATATCTGTCAAAAAAAAAAACTTGCTTTTAACTTTAGAGTCGACTTTATTTTGACTATAACTACGGCCCATTTTCAACACACACACCACCGATAACTGTGTGTTGAACAAAATTATTTTGGTATAAACATATTAACATAGTATATAATGGATGAATCCAATCTTAACGAAAAGTTATAATTTTTTTATGGTACAGGAATAAAAACGGAATAACCGCGATATTATCTTTAATGCTAGTGAATACCATATTGCGACAAAAAAAGTTTTTAAACTAAATAACCAAAAAAGTGTTTTTAATTGTATTTTTGTGCTTTGTTTTTCCTTGGGGTACAAAGGTTCAAGTGATAATTTCAAATAACATCCATAGTCCAGTGAGTAAGTTTGACAAGAAAGGTTTTGAAAATATTTGTGTAAAAATAAAAATAAATATTTTGATTAGCTTGTGAAATGGGTGTTTAAAAAATACTCATTAACTAATAAAACTCGTTTTGTTCTTACAACAAAACATGATATTGCAAATAAAAATTCGCGGTAGATCCAATAAAATTATAACTGTAAAAAATATTAGCATATCCATATTGGCCGATATCGAAATTATATCTCCAAAGATCGATTTTTAAGGAAAGTTTCTAAACCATTAGAATTCTTAAGGTTTGTATTGGAAACACATATAAACTGATCACATAAAAGTAGGGATTTGATGTGATTCGATAATAAAAGGTTAAATAACACTGTGCTAGGCAAAAAATATGCAGGGGTTCTCATATAGAAATTATATTTTGTTGGAGCCCATAGGACACGACTATACTTATAGTTTGTCAATAATAGTATACATATTCCTCTAGTTTATCCAACGGATATTATTTTACCAATGCTGTATACTAAACTGGATTTAAAAAAGCAATTTATGAAAGCATTGACAAAAATGGTCCAACATTCAAATATCTTGAAAAAAATTTTCCACTAATAAATAACGAGAAATTTAAAGAAGGTACAAGGGTATTTTTACATGATTTAAAAGAAAATTAAATTATATTTTTAACAGGTATTTTTGCCGGCCCACAACTGATTAGGGGCATACATTTTTTACCACAAATGACGTCTTAGAAGAAAATGCATGGAAAGGTTTTTCTTCTGTGTGTGAAAAATTTCTTGGCAACAAAAAGAGTGAACATTATGATGACATACTGAGGAACATGTCGTCTGCCTACCATGCCATGGGTTGCAAAATGTCCATTAAATAGCACCATCTGCATGCTCATTTGAATATGTTTCCATCAAGTTTAGGCCAGATGAGCGATGAACAAGGTGAACGATTTCACCAGGAAATTGCAAAGATTGAACAGATTGGAAAAAGCAAAATTGGTATGCTCTCCAACTACTGTTGGTTTCTTAAAAGACATACTAGCAGCGACGTATATAAAAACAAACAACACGAAAACATTTCTAGGAAAAATGTAAAACACAGATATGTATACTTATTAACACTAAATAAAGCATTACTAAGCCATTTTTTATTCGAATTTAATTTATCTATAACATTTGGAAAACCGATTTTTTATAAAGATCTGTAAATTCTAATGTATTATGAAATATTAACAAATTTACTTGTATCGGGATCGGCTGCAGGATTTCTTTTTGGAGGGTCTTTTATTTAAAGTAAAGGTCTGATTATGCATACTTCGCATAACTTCGCACAACTTCTTAAACGTGACACAACTTTACAAAACTTAAAGGTCTGATTATGCATACTTCGCATAACTTCGTACAACTTCTTAAACGTAACACAACTTTACAAAACTTAAGACTGATTATGCTTCGCCTGCAACCAAATGTACTGATACCAACCTTATGTATCGACGCAATAGGGTTATTCACGGTGTGTGAACAAAACCAGCTGATTTTTGGTTTCTTTAGATAAATAGATTTGTTTACAGAAAAATTCATTTAAGTGGTTTTAATGGGGTATATTTGTAGTCCAAATTATGTCGTCACTAAAGTTCTTTGCAGTTTGACATAATTTTCAATACAAAACCTGTCAAAATATGTTAATAAAATACGTATGTTTTTATTGAAAAAAAAATATATTATCTGCGTATATTAAACGATATATTTACTAGAAAAAGCATAAAAATACCTTTGATTTAATATATAATTTTATATAATTAGGTTTATGATAACACCAACAGCGAAATAAAACAACTGTATTGATATTTTAATATAAAATGAAAACTTTTAATAAAAAATAGCGCGATATTTTCTTCCAAATGTTCGCCTGCAAATGAGCTTTTTTTCTTTTAACATATAAAATTATATTTTAATAATTAGTGATATTACCAAAGATTTTTTGATTATAAATCATATAATTAAAGGTATTTTTGTGCCTTCTTATCTTGTGCATATCCTTTAATATAGTTAATTACGTATTTTTTTAAGAAAAACAAATTTTTAATAAAATAATTTTTATTTCAATATCAAGTCAAAAGACTATATCCATACTTTGAAAATTGGTTCAAAACTTTTCAAAATATATGCTTTTGAAAATTCCACGTTTACCCTCCCTAGCAGCGCTCCTATGAATTTGCACAAAAAAATTTATTACACTAAAATCATGGCCCGCCAGCCATGCTCGCTTTTTCTTTTTTTTTAGCTCAACGGGCCATATTCTTTTCTTGTTCCCAAAATTATATTAATAGAGTCGTGAATTCTCCCAATATACTTCCATGCATCTCTGTAAAAATATTGCTATTGGTACCACTGTAATTGAAACGTCACTTAAGAAAACATGAGGCGAAATCTAAGCTCAACAGATCGCTAATTGTATACAAGTTCTGCTAATTTCTGGGTAATGGAATACATACAAAATGCGTTCAACAGATTTTCAGTTGACAGTTTGAAATTTATGCGAAGTTATGCAAAGTAGGCATAATCAGGGCATTATTCGTAACAACCAAGAATATCATTGTTTTATTTCGAGTATTCAGGAATTCGATTGTGGATACATTTAATTCATCACAACTCAAAGAAAAGTCACATGATGCGTTATTTGCTAAATTATTCTTATTTCAATAATGCAATTCGCCGGGTTACAGATACCAAGTTTTTTAATAAAGAGTCCACATAAACACCCAGATTGCGCTGAATATTGAGAGAAGCTAGCACATTGATGCTACCTTCCTTCATAGTTGATACCAAATAAGTTCTTATCGTTGAATTAAAGGGGGAGGGAAAGAGGGACGCAGGGAGGGTAGGGGGAAAGAGGGGGAAGCTATGGGAGAAAGAAAGACGACACCTATGGCTTTTTGCCGGAGAAACGCTCACTGCTCACAACGAAGCTCTTCAGTCGACTGATGTCCACACCCGAGAGCTCATCGGGAGTGTGAAAAAAGTGCGACCCAAGGTGCTTAAACCTTAGGCTCGCAAAGGCAGGGCACCAGAGCAGCAGATGTTGAGATGATTCCACCTCATCGTCCTCCATGCAGCTGGTGCAGTAAGGGTTATCCGCGACACTCAGCCTTACCGCATGGTTACCAATCACACAGTGACCAGTAAGCACTCCCACCAAGAGTGCAGCTTGCTTAGTCTCAAGAGCTCCCTAGACCGCCCCCGGTCCACCCGTGGCCAGAAAGACTTTGCCACCTTGCACTCCAAGGTGTTCGCCCAGCCCTCGCTGAGCTGACTAAACGCCCATCTGTCCAGAAGCAGACCACATGAGGTCAGAGAAGCGTCCAGACCCTCCCTATCCGAAAGTAATTCCTCGAGGGTACCCTGTCTTGCTAGCTCATCAGCCATGCAGTTGCCAGCGATTTCGCTGTGACCTGGAACCCAAATAAGCTTACCCTCA